TTTATAAAAATCGAACACCCATTATACTACGAGTTCACCCATACAAAACTTATCTAATTCCAATACCATATGGTCATTCAAATCATCATTTTACATTTTTGAAAGATTTTACAACTTTCCCCAAATTTTCCTTTAGATTCTCATGAATTTGATGTTAAATCTAAGATATAATCATAAAATATAGTTGAAAATTGATTAAAGACACTTACCTAATGATTTAGAGAAGTTTGGGTCATTGAAAAATCGCCCATGGAGGTTTAGGGTTTGAGAAAATGGAAATGGGTGAAAATCTCGTCAAAAACCTCACTTAACAGGCCTCAGATGTCGCATTTGCTTCCCAGTGTTCACAATTGCGAACCCTCGCAAATTGCGAATAAAGCAGGGCAGGCAGAAGTCGCATTTGCAACAAAAAATTCTCATTTGCGAACTGGGCATCGCAAATGCGAACTTTTTAGTTCGCATTTGCGAACACACCGGAAACCATTTTCGACACGAAAATGAGCATAACTTCCTCATACGATGTCCAAATTCGATGATTCTTTTTATTATGGCAGCGTAATTTCGATACAGATCTAATGGTTCAAACAAAACTGAATTTTGATCTCATTTGCGCAATATGATATTATTTTTGCTTGAAGAAACGACGATGAAGCATCAAAAAACAAGCGCAACATAGCCTAAACCTATCCGAAACTCACCAAGCCCTCGGGGATCCAAACCAAACATGCACGCTAGTCGAAAGATATCATACGGACTTGCTCGTATGATCAAATCATCAAAATAACATCAAAAACTATGAATTTAACCTCAAAACTCATGATTTTCTCAAGGACACTCAAATTTTCTAACTTTTCAACCGGACGTCCAAATCACGTCAAATCAATTCCGGTTCTCTCCAAATTTTACAGATAGGACTTAAATATCATAACAGGATTGTACCGGGCTCCGAAACCAAAATACGGTCCCGATACCAACGAGTTCAAACATTAATTCATTTCTTTATTTCCTTTAAAAACCAGCACAACAATTTTCTTCAAAAATTATTTTCTAAGGCTTTAGACCTCGAAATTCAATTCTGGGCATATGCACAAGTCCCATATTTTACTGCGTACCTCTCGGAAATACAGATCCGGGTCCGTTTACCAAAAATATTGACCAAAGTCAACTAAAAAGCAAATTTTAACTCTAGAAAGTACTATATTTTTCATATTTCCACATAAAAGCTTTCTGGTTTCACGTTCGGACTCCGCAAGCAAGTCGATACACATAATATGAAGCTGCGCGTGACCTCAAACTGCCGAACCGGACGCAATTGCTCAAAACGACCATTTGGATTGTTACAAAGAAGTCTATGTTGAACAACCATTAGGCTTTATGGTCAAAAACCACGAAGATAAAGTGTTGCGGTTGAAGAAAGCTTTATATGGATTAAAGCAAGCCCCACGAGCATGGAATAGTTGCATCGACAAGTATTTTGAAAACAAGGCATTTACTCGTCTCCATGAATATGCTCTTTACCTTAAAGTTCATACTAATGGAGATATGTTGCTAGTTTGTCTTTATGTTGATGATCTTATTTTTATGGGTAATAACCTAAGTTTGTTTGAAGATTTTAAGAAAGATATGTACGTGAGTTCGAGATGACGGATGTAGGGCTCATGTCATACTACTTGGGACTAGAAGTGAAGCAAATGGAGGATGGAATTTTTATCTCTCAAGAAAGCTATACAAAAGAGATATTGAAGAAGTTCAACATGCTCGATTGCAACTCCGTGAACACGCCAATGGAGAGTGGGACAAAATTGTCCAAGTTTGATGAAGGGGAGTAAGTGAATCCTACATTTTTCAAAAGTCTTATGGGAAGTTTGAGGCACTTGACTTGTACCAGGCCAGATATACTCTTCACAGTTGGAGTAGTAAGTCGCTTTGGAAGCTTCTAACTTTACTCACTTAAAAGTCGCTAGAAGAATTCTTCGTTACCTAAAAGGTACAATTGATTTTGGGCTATTTTACTCTTCTTCTAGTGATTTCAACCTTATGGGATTTTGTGATAGTGATTATGCGGGAGATATTGATGATAAAAAAAGTACAATTGATTTTGTATTTTTCTTAGGTGATTATGTTATTTCTTGGAATTCAAAGAAACAATCAATTGTTATTCTCTCGACTTGTGAAGCTGAATATGTGGCAGCAACATCATGTACATGTTATGCTATTTGGCTAAGAAGATTATTGAAGGAGCTCAATTTACAACAGATTGAAGCTACGGAGATTTGTATTGAAAACAAATCCGCACAAGCACACACGAAGAATCCAGTGTATCATGATCGAAGCAAGCATATAAATACAAGGTATCACTTTATCCGAGAATGCATTTCCAAGAAGGAAGTCGAGCTCAAATATGTGAAGTCTCATGTTCAAGCTGCGGATATTTTACAAAACCTCTCAAGTTTGAAGATTTTCAGAGATTGAGATCAAGACTTGGAACGAAAAAAAAATCAAAATTAAGGGAGAGATTGTGGGGTCCATCCCATCCAATCAATATAGGCATGTGCCTGTATAATAATACTTGGTGACCAAGTTTGGAAAGATGTGGAGGAGAATCAAATTATTCTTGTAGAATACTTTGAGCTCACGGCTCTTTTACCTTATAAAAGGAGGGCATTCACTCAATGTTAAATACACCAGAAAGCATAGAGAAGTAACAGAAGTTAGAGAGAGTAATCCACAGATCGTGGTCTGTGAGATAAATAGTGAGTGTCAATAATGTTGTTGTGAGGTATTTAAAATAAAGAGTGTTATTTCTTTCGAAATTGTAGTAGTCTCTTGAAACACTAAGTTGTAAAATTATAGTGGTAATATTGCTCCGCTCGGGTATTGTAATTTACTCCGTTTAAAGATGTGGTGTCTTTATTATTCTCTAGTGTTATTGTTATTTATCGTGGATATTATTCGTGTGCGGGATATTATTTTCCCAACAATGGGTTCTTAAAGAGATATCAAGTTAATATTATATAATAAAAAATTGGGCAAATATGTATTATATAATTAACGAATTTCTTAAAATAGAAATTGAGAATCTAAGCAAAAGTTATTAAATTTATGTTAACTCGTAAACAACATTATAGATCGGCCCTTGGCTTTCCTCATCTTGGCGCTTTAATTAGTTAGTTCTAGAAACAAAGGGGTTCTAACTTTTACATGCCATTTATGATCTGTTTATAATAATATGTCAATTCAATTATTGTGAAGTTGTCTAGTTACACTATCTTGATTATTTTAAAGGTGTGGTAAGTGTTTAAGCTTAATAGTTACTGCACATGAATTGTGGTAGGAATTTAATTCGATCAAGTAGCTTATTTTTACCCTCGTAAATTCGCTCCAGGTAAAATCAAGGGATAAAATTAAACCAAAGTTAGATTACACGTGAGGATGTTGAGTTGCATAACTATTCTAGATAAATTGTGTAATAGCTGTTATTAAAGTTTTTGTGCTCGAGCAACGTGTTTTTACATGATATCAGAGTTCAAAGTTAGTAAGTCCATAGTAAAATTCACATGTGTTGTTTCAAGTGGGATTACACGATGTTTGAAAATGTTGAGTTATATATATAGGTGTCCCAGGCCATAATTGAATTTTTGCATAATCTATATAGAAGATACATTGTTTTCTGTCATTAGCATTAATGTTGCAAGTTGCACTCTTCTATACCTTCGAAATTTACCATGTCACATTACACTTCAAGGAAGCTTGTACTTTTCTATAAAACTACCTTCAATTACAGGCACAAAACATGAAATTTTCTTTCAAAACGGCAGACATTTTCTGACACTTGATCGATAAATATCCGGCCATTCAATGTTAACATGCCAATGGGTTGCTAGAACCATTTAAGAGTCACGATGAGATGGACATCCAAAGATAACTACTATGGCTAATCTACAGGTTATCATATGGTGCTTTCGCGCTCATCCTTTTGCTAATGGCAACCATTCACAGCTTCCATGGAGTTGCACATCCAAAGACGGCAATCACTTTGTTCACAGACTAATCTACAAGCAGTGACGGATCCAGGATTTTAAGGTCGTGGGTGCTCACTTTCTTTTAATATAGAAGTGCTATCAATCACATAATATAAGCGTAATTTATTCGAACGGGCCGATGAAAAATATTAATGAGAAAACACGATTACTATTGTCATTATCAAAAATGACTTCTAGCCACGAGTCAGATAATAATGTTAATATGTTATCATTACAAAAAAAGGACTTCCCTAATCACAACTCACAATTGTGCTAGACGACTTTTCATATGCTGAAAACGATGAATAATAGCGTCATTGCTAACACTTGCAAATATCTTACGCTCTATATAGCAAACTAAACAACTATTTAAAAATTCATCACCGATGTTGTTCGAAGTTCACTTTTGATATAGTTCATGGATGAGAAAGCTCGTTCCACAGAAGCTGTAGCAACAGGAAGAATGAGAGTCAACTTGATTAGCAAATAAACAAGTGGCTAAGTTTGATGCAGATCTGACTTAACCAACACTTTAGCAAGATCACTAATTCCCTTCAAGCCAAAGAACCTCTTGCCAATACCACGGGCATAAAGTATAAAACTATCAAGCTGACAACTGAGATCTCGAAGCTAGCTGCTATCAAACTCATTCGGATAATATTCGGCCAACCTCATTATTCTGTTCTTATCAAAATTACCAAATGAATTAACGGGATTTAAGCTAGCCATACCGAGGAGTAAGTCAGTACTCAAAGCATCAAAGCGACGATTAAGCTCTTGAAAATGCAAATCTATAACAGCATAAAAAATATCGACACGCAAATGATGAGAATATGTAACATCAAGAGCCCTACGCTTTGACTTTCCAGGAAAGTAGCGAGCGTCCATATTTGGAATCATTATATCATGTTTATCACAAAAAGAAGAGTCATCTTCCATTAAAGATCCAAATCCACTCTTCCTCATCGTTTGTAATCTTTACTTTGTAAGAGCAAGAAGTCCCATAGCATTGACAATATCTTGATCCATCCTTTGTAACGCACAACTCAACTCATTTGTCATTGTTAAAACATTTAGCATCAAGTGCAACATAAAAGCAAAATCAAATTCCTTAATCTTACCCATAAGACTTTCAGCAACAATTCTGTCAGCATAGTTTGGACACTCACGTGCAGTAAATTCAAGAACATGAATAATCTATGGAAATAGGACAATAAGGTTATCCAACGTCTTATAATGAGAACCCCAACGAGTATCACCTGGTCATTGAAGCCTACGCTCTTGATTTAATCCTCGCCCAGTATGCACTTCACCTGATTTGAGCAAATCTTATAACCTTTCAGCTTGATGTTCTCGAAGCAAATCCCTGCGCTTAAAAGATGCTCCAACAATATTTAAGACATTAGTAACTATACAAAAAAAGTCATCTACATCTGAATGCTTCTTTGCAATAGCCACAAGTGTTAATTGCAATTGGTGACCGAAATAGTGAATGCAATATGCTGATGGAGACTCATTGAAAATTAAAGTCTTAACACCATTTAGCTCTCCCTGCATGTTACTAGCCCCATCATAACCTTGCCCACGTATTTGCGTTGGACTTAATGAGTGATCAGAAAGAAAAGAGCAGATTTCCTTTTTCAATGACATAGCCGATGTATTACTAACATGAACAATACCAACAAATGTCTCTATGACTTCACCTTTGTTGTTAACATATCTCAAAACAAGTGCCATTTGCTCCTTGTGTGATATATCTTTTGATTCATCAACTAATATCCCGAAAAAATCCCCATTCATGTCTTCAATGATAGCTTTGACTGTTTCTTTGGCACAAGCATCAACAATATCTTTTTGAATACTTGGAGAATACATCATTTCATTTCTTGGAGAATTTTCTAATATAATGCTTCCAACATCCCGATCAATATCCCCATACCATTGCAAAAGCTCAAGAAAAATACCTCTATTTGTAGAAGATTGACTCTCATCATGCCCACGAAATGGCAAACCTAGTCTCAAAAAAAAAATCTTGCCACATCGATTGAAGCACTTAAGCGACGTTGAGACTCACTTTTTTCTTTCTCAGATTGTTTGTCAAAAGAAGTGCGAATTGATTGTGATTGATTCTTTAAATCAAGAATCCTATTGAAACACTTGTTGTAGATGCTATTTACTTCTCCAACATGAGCTTTAAATCTTTCAATAGCCTTGTTCCAAGCTTTAAAGTCATTCTTTGTAAAAGCATCTCCCGTATTTCCATGAATTTCATGTTCATTTTTGAACAAATAACAACACAAACAATATGCAGCATCTTTTGATATATTGTACTCCAACCACTTAGAATGTTGACCCTTAAACCAACCAGGACAAAACTGACTCATTATCTTCCCAAACTTAGTTTTAGGAAAATCATGATTCGCTAGCTGACAAGGCTTTTTTTGAATATAATGTCTTCTAACTTCATCACGTATATTAGGGTTGTATTCTGTAATAGGCTTTCTATCTCCTGGATCAGCGTTGAGAGATTCTAAATCAAGATCAGAAAGAAATGTGTCCCTCTAAATTTCCGGAGCTATAGCTGAAGTAATAGATGGATTAGTAGAACTAGAACTTGATTGCCCAATATTCGTTCTTGTGACAAACCTATCCATCTCAATTCACAAAGCTTGATTAAATTCTACAGAATAAGATTCAATTTAAAATTCAACTATAATTCAATTATTATTCAACTAAATCCTATTGGGGAACTCATGCCCCTCTATAACAATACAAATAATAAAGCAATAACAACATATTTGACCACATTGCACCGGAAAATTGATCACATTTCTTTATCACTAAAAATATTAGAAATATTTATTCTTTCGGAAGATAAGATGAAAACTTACAAATTTTTGAAGAAATGAGCCAATGAGGATATATTCATCAATCGCACAAACTGATGCTAATAACCTACATTTATCCCCAAGAAAATCAGTTTTGAAATTAAGTCAGAAATAGAGATAAATTAAATTTTTCACTTTTTGACAAGTAAACATAACTATTGTTTATTTTCCACAAAATAATTACAATCAGTGGGTGTATTTATAAAAAAAATTACTGAATTTATTTTACAAAGCATAGATAATAACAATTGTAATTTGTAAAACCCAATATCTTCGATAGAATATTGCTATTTATACCCAAAATCTCTAGCTTAAATCAAAATACCAAATCTTAATATCTTGTTCCTTGTGTTTTAATTTTGAGATGGGGAGGTCAAGAAAACTTATTGTTCACTTTGTAACCTGCGAATTGCGAAACCTACAAGAAGAACCAGAGAAGGCGATGCTCGAGAGCTATTTTAATATTTTGGTTTGGTAGCTTTTGAAAGCCTACCAATATTTTAACTAGTGGAGGATTCTTTTTCTCTTTTTCCTCATCTGATTTCTAAACAAGGGGAAATAAAAAATGGGGGAAAATAAAGTAAAAGAAGGTAAGTACGTAATAAACAAGCAAACAAGGAAGTCAACGATCATTTAATAAGGAAAAGTGCTATTTTTGGAATGGAAAACAAAAAACGCTGCCAACTGGATTTGATCTCGTGACGTCAAGGTTTCCAAACACCCAAAATTCAGACTCCAAACCAAAGCACCCATTAGACTTTTTGGTTAATAGGTGCTTGCTAATATATTATATCAGTTTTCATAAAATTTCTATATTAGTATACCAAGTCCTTGTAGGAGTCAGTGGGTGCTACAGCACCCAGGACCTTACACGTGGGTCCGCCCCTGTCTACAAGTAATCATTGGGAGATGTCCGCTCATCCTTTTGGTTAAGGAAACAATTTGGGACCTCCAACGTAAATTCACATCGAAAGACAACCACCACTCCTTGAAACGGGGGACTGCTTTGGGAACTCAAGCGACCGCTGCATATAATAAACGGCGGATGATGAGAAAGAAGAATAAATTCAAAGGGTCAGTTTGACAACTTAAAAGGGGATGAACTTACATGTTGAGTTCTACTTCTAAAGGAATGGGAGGAACTCGGAGGTAATGAGATCTTCGATCTTTATCCAAACAAATCTCTCGTGCCAGCCTTTGTCCCTATCCTCATCGATGATCAAGAATAGAGCCTTCTTCACCTGTTGGGCAAGCTTGATTAACCCCTCTCGGTAGATTCGGGGGCTGTAGACACGGAGCAGATGGCCAATTGTGAATCGGGGCTCATCCTTGTAGTTGGAAAAATGTCAGAGGAGGGTCACGACCCTCCAAAAGGACGGATGGATCTGCTCAAGGCAAACCTCGTACCTCTTGCAAAAGGTGAGGACCACCATGTCCATCGGGCCAAGCGTGAAGAGGTACGTGCAAACACTTAAGTAACCCTCCATGTGCATTGTGATTTCCTCGTGAGGATGGGGGATAACTACTTCTTATCCTTCCCACTTGCAATCCTCCCAGGCCACTGGGAGCGTGTCTTCGGTGATGAAGCAGATATACCTCCACGCCTCCTCACCTCGATCCCACTATTTGGAGGCTTTCTCGACCTTAAAGTCGTTATCTAGGGAGTAACCTCTGGGGATGAAATATGTCAAGACCCAATTCCCGAACCCGGTCGTGATGGCGCCTCTCGTGAAGACAAGGCCATCTAGTACAAAACGGAACACCTCTTTAAGTAGTTAATTATCTTAAACAGTAATAAACATAATATAATATCCATAGATTGCAAAAATTTAATGATAACAACAGTGGAAACCATCCCGACACAGCCCAAACCGGGGTGTCACAAGTCATGAGCAACTAAGAAATCCGGATACAAGTCTACTGAATAATAATTCCGATACAATAGTTCTAAAAACATGAAAATGAAAAGATAAGGGAGGCATGGGGCTGTGAACGCCAACATCTACCTCGTAATCTCTGAATCACTACCTGAACTGGGAGAATCATCACTCGGGAGCGGACTCTGTGATGCCTGAATCTGCACACATGGTGCAGGAGTAATGTGAATACTCCAACTCAGTGAGTAATAATTATAAATAATGGCTAAAAGTATGAAAATACGTAAAGGCACAAAGCAATTCCATATCAAGCAGTAAAATCAGTTAAAGCAGTAAATCAGTGAAGAAATCAAATGATATTCCTTTTTAAAACAAGTAAAACTGGTAATTTAACAAGTAAATAACAAGTTGAAATCCGCCCCTCGGGCACAGTATCAATCGCACAGAACAGTATCAGCCCATAGGGCTCACTCTCAGTAAAGTATCAGCCCCTCGGGCTCAGTATCAATCACTCAGAATAGTATCAGCCCCTCGGGCTTACTCTCAGATCATAATGGGTACCCGCACTCACTGTGGGTGTGCAGACTCCGGAGGGGCCCCTTACAGCCCAAGCGCTATATCAATCCACCTCGTGGCATCATCACTCGGCACTCGGCCTCACATCACTCAAGCCACCTCATGGCATATAAAGTATCTCAGGCCCTCGGCCTCATATCACTCAGCATATCCTCACATATGTCCCTCGGCCTCACTCAATCCAAAAATCATCACAAGCCCCTTGGGCATTAGTAAAACAGTAGTTCTCAGCCCAAAACATGATGTAGAAATATCATTTAAGTTTCAAATCTGAGTAAATGTGGTTGAGTTCGTAAAACAGTAGATATCAACAGGACTGGGTTCAAATAACAAGTCAAGCAGTGAGGAAACAATGATAAAGATCCCCGAAGGGTTCAAATAGTTGGCACGAAGCCCAAATGTGGCAGTCAGCCCAAATCATGATGATAACAAATGAATTTCAGTCAAATACGCGGTAAAATTATCAATCGGGATGAACCAAGAAACAATCCCCTGTAGTAAAAGACCCCACGCTCATCATCCAGCATGTATCTTGCCTCAATATGGCACTACGATGTGCAATCCGGGGTTTCAAACCCTGAGGACATCATTTACAGTCATTACTCACCTCGAACCAGCTAATTATCTAGCTCGCGACGCCTTTGCCCCTCGAATTGGCCTCACTGCGCGACGAATCTATCCAAAATCAGAACGAATACGTCACAATATGCCAAGGGAACAAAGCACAAGCGAAAACATTCGAAAAATATCAAAAATCCCGAAATTAGCAAAACCCGGGCCCCAGGCCCATGTCTCGGTATCGGGTAAAATTTATATTTTCAGAATTCCCATACCTTCACGAGTCTAATCATACCAAAATTATCCAATTCCGATATCATTTGGTCCTTCAAATCATCTTTTTACATTTTTTAAAGGTTTCACAATTTTCTTCCCAAATTCCATCCCAAATCACGAAATAAATGATGAATTCAGTGATAGATTCATGTATTCTAGCCAAATCTGAGTTAAAATCATTTACCCCGATGAATTTCTTGAAAAACCTTTAAAAATCGCAAAATTTGAGCTCTCTAGGTCAAAATATTAAATAAAATCCAAAACCTCGTATTTATAGAGTAACCCTTAGATTTCAGCCTCCGCGGGCCGCACAAAGCCAGTGCTGTCTGCGCAAAAACAACCGCGGCCGCACAGGCCTTCCTCTACAGTGATAGGCTTTAGTCTTTTAGCTATAACTTTTATTACGGATTTCCAAATTATGTTATCTTTACATTTCTTGAAACTAGATACAAAGGGCTACAACTTTTGTTTTTGAATCATCTCAAGATTCCTTGTAGATCAAAAGATATGAGCTTCCGAAGTAGGACCAGCGAATCGTTCCCCATCGCGGCCGCACACCATTTTGTGTGGTCCGCATGACACCTACCGCGGCCGCACTTCTTTTTGTGCGGACCGCGCGGGTGAGTTTCGAGGCCTAAAACCCTTCTAGACCTGCTACAGCTATGATTTTCGGCCTAAAACATCCCGGAACCTACCCGGAACTCCCGAAACTTCAAACCAATTGTACCAATACATCCCATGACATCATTCAAACTTGTTCAAAACTTCGAAACGCTCAAAACAATATCAAATCACCAATTTACCATAGGATTCAAGCCTAAGAACTCCAAGAACTCTTAAATTATGCTTTCAATCAAAAAGTCTTTCAAATCTCGTCTGAATGACCTGAAATTTTGCACACACATGCCAAATGATACAATGAAGCTACTGCAACTCTCGGAATTCCATTCCGACCCCTATATCAGAATCTTGCCTATCAACCGGAAACGCCGAAATCTCAATTTCGCCAATTCAAGCCTAAACCTTCCATGGACCTCCAAAATGCATTCCGATCACGCTCCTAAGTCCCATATCACCTAAAGGAGCTAACCCAACCATAAAAATTTTGATCCGAGATCATATACAAACAAGTCAAATCTTGGTCAAACCTTTCGAAATTCGAGCTTCAATTGAGAATTGTTTTCTTCCAAATTTCATTCTGATTACCCTGAAAACCAAAACTAACGATTTACATAAGTCATAATACATCACACGGGGCAAGTCATACCGGAAAACTGGCGAGCGAAATGCAAAAGCTCAAAACGACCGGTCGGGTAGTTACATCCTCCCCCACTTAAGCATGCGTTCGTCCTCGAACGTGCCCAGAGTTTTTCCAAAAGCCAACCAATTGCTGAGTAACCTCACCATGCACATACTTGGGGGTGATCCCACGTCACCCTATCTCACATAGGTTTGATAACACAATATAACTGAAATTTCACAATCCATCCTAGTCCATAAACCATAGAACCACATTTCCTCTTCTAAAATCATCAACACGATCAGAATCTCACATTTATACTGTGAATAAGTCCGAACAAGTTGTAACAAACCATATATGCTATCTGTGGTGCAATCACATGATATATCACATAACTCAACACTTGTAGTGATAACTTCTAACCACAGCAACTGCACACAACATCCGAACACTGATAGAAAAACTCTTATCAACTAAAGTCTCATCCCAACACTTTCATATACAGCCAATGATCACTAAGACACGCGGTAAGCCATAACCATTTCCCAGATCAACCATTCATGAAGCCACTTCTTCCTTGGCAAATACCACAGCAAATTTCTGAACCGAAGCTCGATACTATCCTTCCAACATGCTGAAATCGAATCCTTTCATATTTATTAATGATCCTAACAATCTCCTCTAATCCACCACACCACTCTGGTGACATGACACATCAATATAGGCCTAAGCCACAACTTGCCTAATACGCGCACCAATAAACAATGGTCCAAACATACTCAAATCATGAAAATGACTCAAATGAAAGAGTTGTACCTCAAGCTCACCAGTACCCCCATAACACAAGGCTGAGAACCTGTCTCACATCATGGAAACAGAACACCCGAATATAACCCGCAAGGTCATACCACTACATAACTTAGTTGCTATGTGCAATCCTATCCAACATTGCCCCACATGAACCACCTTAAATCGCTATGCTCGAAATCGACAACCACGCACAATTCGATATCTGGAACCAAAGCAAATCATCATACCCACGGTGAAGCAAATAACATACACCACAATAACCCGAAAGGACGTAACCGATACGCCATTCACCAAGTAATTCACCGAACAATATCCAATCACTCTTCCTGCTCGACTTCCACCATGAAACCCTAATAGAACTGCACCATATGTGCCCATAACCAACAAATCATAACATCTCGCAACACAGAAAGGTAACTCATGGATCTCCCCATATTACTAATAAGCTCAATAACAATCGAATCAACACACCCCTAAACCGTACAATTCAAAGCCAACCAAGCCAGCTCAAATTAGAACACGTATCTACATTGGCCTGCTAACGGACTCCTTATCACAAAAATCCTAGAGCTGCTCTTCAACTCCTTTAACTCTGCCGGTGCCATACAATACGGTGCCCGGCATCAAATTAATATCAAAATCAACAACCTTGCTCGACGACATGCTCGGCCATAAGAAACACATCCGAAAAATCCCTCGCCACCGGAACTGAATCAATGGTAGAAGCTTCTACACTGACATCTATCACGAAAGCCCAAATAAAAAAGACAATCCTTCCCAGCCATCCGTTGGGCCTTCGAAATAAAAAACCACTCCACTAGGGCATAATCTTACGAACCTCGCCACTCAATCTGTGGCATTTCTAGCATAGCCAACAGTGCCATCTTAGCGAAATAGTCCAGAATGACACAACACGGAGACAACCAGTCTGAACCTAGTATCCCATCCAGAATCTAACATGTCAAGCACAAAAGATCCACCTGGGTCTTCAAACCCCGATAGTCACTAAACAGTGCCGATACACACGACTTACAACCACAACATAGCTTGAATGTCAGCAGTCGATCTAAAAAGAAAGTGTCGTAATTCTACCGAAGCACCATCAACTTAATCACATTGCCTCTTCTGAAACATATACCCTCGTCAAATCACACCCATTTAGCAATACCATTTCCTTAATCATCTGGAGATCATCTCCCGAATCATCTGAAGCTCATTTCTCTAATCATCTGAAACTGCCCGTGTTGCCTAAGAATTTTATGACTTTCCGTTCAAGACTGAACTGTAACCTTACACATGCAAATCTCAATCCTCCACAACACACCGCATATACCATACTATCCTAGGATAACATGAGAACTTTATCTCCCTTCTGAGCCACAAACATCTACTTACTCCACTAGTCAAGAACATTCCATTGATCTCATCTAGAAGGAAATCACTATGCATCCCATGCTCCTCACGCTAATAGGAAAAATGTACCTCTCTAACTGTGGTGAAAACCATCTAAAACTCCCCGAATTCCTTTTGCACAACACTAACTCATCAGGATTGAATCTTTCTAACTCAACCGAGCTGCGCAGGTCACTAAAACCCAAAAGAATTGCCGCAAAACACCTGTAGAAACTCGTTACCTCGAAAACACCCACGGAACTAATCATATCCTTACCATACCAATCTGGCATACTACCACGCTATCCCATCTATTCGAGTTTCCCTCTGACCTACCGTTAGCTTGAACTTCTTCTTGCTACAATGCCACAATTCCTCAACCCAGACTCACCACGCGAGTCCCAAGCATGAAACCACATTGTCTAAGGCTCATATGTCGCTGAGTACTCTCTTAAATGTTTTCAAAAGCACCACGTTCAAAATACCAACCCCGAAGGGACCTCTTGCAAATCTGGAACCATTACCTTCCTAATACTGATATATAGAATCCCATAGTTAATGTAGAAAGTACCAGATGTCTTGACATTTTCCAACTGAAAACTCAGTTCCTAACCAGATATACAACTTTAAAATACCCAATTGCTACATGTAGAATGCTGAACACATTAGAACTATTCTCGAGAGTCGTTCACTCTATTCGAACTGCAATTAGTCTGATCAAATGAACCGAACAACCCATGCCTCATTGGCACTCCGACACTGCAAAATGTAACCTCATCCCAATACAACCACGCAACTTCCTGCTCTATGTATCGAGCCCTCTTACCAATAACAATTCAAGACATCCCGTGATTCTCATACACCTATGAAGCATAATATAATCTTCATCAAAATTTTCCTTTACTCGAGACATCCTCGGTCTCAATTTCCGCAAGCCATAACTGATTCACTCGCACTCCTCAAACTGGAACCAACATAGCACCTAACCAGGCAATCGCCCAATCAATAGCAGGTTCCCCCACTTGGCTCAGAGCCATAGATCAGCAAATACTTAATAACTCATAACGATTATACTCTATTGATACCATGATACCATAGTGAGATTAAACTCAAATCTTTTATAAGCCTGTAAAAACACAGATCATCTAGAATTTTAACTCCTTTGCAAACCTCGCATTCCACTCTCGCAATAGTTATACCCACTCTCTAAGCGACCCAAATTAAATTGCAACACATATCCTTCACTCGCAAATGATATCTTCTAACAGACACATAAGGATCGTACAACCTCAGAACATTTCGCAGGAGAAAACTCACCTGTTTTGCCTCTAACTAACATTTTTGTATACCTTCCACCGTCATAAACTGTACCCAATCACTTAGTCCTCCTGAGTCTGAACTCATATCGCAACATGAAATTTACTTCACTCACAATTGTAAAACATGGAAAGATCCTTCACACGCCCATAACTCGGGGCTATACCTCGAATCAAGATGGAATTCAAGAACCTAATATTACTTCTATCCTCTAGTAGACCTTCTCATCGCTTCCAAATCATGTGGATACATATCGCAGTACCAACATACTCATCACATAGTTATCCAGCCGTCACTTCCACTAGTAGGGACAATACCGAACATATACGTTCAAAAATACTTGCTCACACAATTAGCACCTCGGTGCTCAAGTTATAGGCAAAGATCCGGCCTCAAGTCCTCTAGACTGTCCCAATATCAACTCACAAAGATCACGTCTCGCCCCTTGATCGGGGAATAACAAGCGATCAATGCACATCTGATACTAAGCGCTCATGCGTGCATACGAATGCGTGGAAGCAATTCAAAGAGTTACATTTCAATCTGAATCAAGGACGCACGATAAGAATTCAAGAATGTGAAGTTTTCCTAAAGGTTCTGCAGCCTCTCGAGGATAAATACAGACGTCTCCATACCGATCCGCGAGACTCTACTAAACCTGCTCATGACTCGCGAGACCTATGTAACCTAGGCTCTGATACCAACTTGTCACGACCCAATTCCCGAACCCGGTCGTGATAGCGCCTCTCGTGAAGACAATGCCAGCCAGACCAAAATGGAACACCTCTTTGAGTAGCTAATTATCATAAACAGTAATAAACATAATATAATATCCATAGATTGCAAAAATTTAACGATAACAACAGTGAAAACCATCCCGACACAACCCAAACCAGGGTGTCACAAGTCATTAGCAACTAAGAAATCCGTATACAAGTCTACTGAACACTAATTCCGATACAATAGTTCTAAANCTTAAACAGTAGATATCAACAGGATTGAGTTCAAATAATAAGTCAAGCAGTGAGGAAACAGTGATAAAAATCCCCGAAGGGTTCAAATAGTTGGCACGAAGCCCAAATGTGGCAATCAACCCAAATCATGATGATAACAAATGAATTTCAGTCAAATACGCGGTAAAATTATCAATCGGGACGAACCAAGTCACAATCCCCAGTAGTAAAAGACCCCACACTCATCATCCAACATGTATCTTGCCTCAATATAGCACTACGATGTGCAATCCGGGGTTTCAAACCCTCAGGACATCATTTACAATCATTACTCACCTCGAACCAGCTAATTCTATCCCAAATTAGAACGAATACGTCACAATATGCCAAGGGAACAAAGCCCAAGCGAAAACATTCTAAAAATATCAAAATCTCGAAATTAGCAAAACCCGAGCCCCGGGTCCACGTTTCGGTATCGGGTAAAATTTACATTTTCAGAATCCTCATACCTTCACGAGTCTAACCATACCAAAATTATCCAATTCTGATACCATTTGGTCCTTCAAATTATCTTTTTATATTTTTGAAAGGTTTCACAATTTTCTTCCCAAATTTCATCCCAAATTATGAATTAAAAGATGAATTCAATGAAAGATTCATGTATTCTAGCCAAATCTGAGTTAAAATCACTTACCCCGATGAATTTCTTGAAAAACCTTCAAAAAATCGCAAAATCCGAGCTCTCTAGGTCAAAATATTAAATAAAACCCAAAACCTCGTATTTATAGAGTACCCTCAGATTTCAACCTCTGCGGGCCGCACCAAATCGACCGCGGTCCGCACAAGCAGCTAGTGCGGTCCGCGCAAAAACAACCGCGGCCGCACAGGCCTTCCTCTGCAGTGATAGTCTTTAGTATTTTAGTCATAACCTTTTCTACAGATGTCCAAGTTTCAATATCTTTACCTTTCTGGATACTAGACATGAAGAGCTATAACTCTTGTGTTTGAATCACCTCAAAATTACTTGTAGATCAAAAGATATGAGCTTCCGAAGTAGGACCAGCGAATCATTCCCCAACGCGGCCGCACACCACTTTGTGCGGTCCGCATGACACCTACCGCGACCGCACTTCTTTTTGTGCGGACCGCGCGGGTGAGTTCCGAGGCCTAAAACCCTTCTAGACCTGCTACAGCTATGATTTTCGGCCTAAAACATCCCGGAACCTAACCGGAACTCCCGGAACTTCAAACCAATTGTACCAATACATCCCATGACATCGTTCAAACTTGTTCAAAACTTCGAAATGCTCAGAACAATATCAAATCACCAATTTTGCATAGGATTCAAGCCTAAGAACTCCAAGAACTCTTAAATTATGCTTTCAATCAAAAAGTCTTTCAAATCTCGTCCGAATGACCTGAAATTTTGCACACATATGCCAAATGATACAATGAAGCTACTGCAACTCTCGGAATTCTATTCCGACCCCTATATCAGAATCTTGCCTATCAACCGGAAACGCCGAAATCTCAATTTCGCCAATTCAAGCCTAAACCTTCCACGGACCTCCTAAATGCATTCCGATCACGCTCCTAAGTCCCAAATCACCTAACGGAGCTAACCCAACCATAAAAATTTTGATCCGAGATCATATACAAACAAGTCAAATCTTGGTCAAACCTTTCGAAATTCGAGCTTCAATTGAGAATTGTTTTCTTCCAAATTTCATTCTGATTACCCTGAAAACCAAAACCAACGATTTACATAAGTCATAATACATCACACGGGGCAAGTCATACCGGAAAACTGGCGAGCGAAATGCAAAAGCTCAAAACGACCTGTCGGGTAGTTACATCCTCCCCCACTTAAGCATGCGTTCGTCCTTGAACGTTCCCAAAGTTGTTCCAAAAGCCAACCAATTGCTGAGTAACCTCACCATGCACATACCTCGGGGTGATCCCACGTCACCCTATCTCACATAGGTTTGATATCACAATATAACTGAAATTTCACAATCCATCCTAGTCCATAAACCATAGAACCACATTTCCTCTTCTAAAACCATCAACACGATCAGAATCTCACATTTATATTGTGAATAAGTCCGAACAAGTTGTAACAAACCATATATGCTATCTGTGGTGCAATCACATGATATATCACATAACTCAACACTTGTAGTGATAACTTCTAACCACAGCAACTGCACACAACATCCGAACACTGATAGAAAAACTCTTATCAACTAAAGTCTCATCCCAACACTTTCATATACAGCCAATGATCACTAAGACACGCGGTAAGCCATAACCATTTCCCAGATCAACCATTCATGAAGCCACTTCTTCCTTGGCAAATACCACAGCAAATTTCTGAACCGAAGCTCGATACTATCCTTCCAACATGCTGAAATCGAATCCTTTCATATTTATTAATGATCCTAACAATCTCCTCTAATCCACCACACCACTCTGGTGACATGACACATCAATATAGGCCTTAGCCACAGCTTGCCTAATACGCGCACCAATAAACAACGGTCCAAACATACCCAAATCATGAAAATGACTCAAATGAAAGAGTTGTACCTCAAGCTCACCAGTACCCCCACAACACAAGGCTGAGAACCTGTCTCACATCATGGGAACAGAACACCCGAATATAACCCGCAAGGTCATACCACTACATAACTTAGTTGTTATGTGCGATCCTATCCAACATTGCCCCACATGAACCACCTTAAGTCGCTATGCTCGAAATCGACAACCACGCACAATTCGATGTCTGGAACCAAAGCAAATCATCATACCCACGGTGAAGCAAATAACATACACCACAATAACCCGAAAGGACGTAACCGATACGCCATTCACCAAGCAATTCACCGAGCAATATCCAATCACTCTTCCTGCTCGACATCCACCATGAAACCCCAATAGAACTGCACCATATGTGCCCATAACCAACAAATCATAACATCTCGCAACACAGAAAGGTAACTCATGGATCTCCCCATATTACTAATAAGCTCAATAACAATCGAATCAAAACACCCCTCAACCGTACAATTCAGAGCCAACCAAGCCAGCTCAAATTAGAACACGCATCTACATTGGCCTGCTAACGGACTCCTTATCACAAAAATCCTAGAGCTGCTCTTCAACTCGTTTAACTCTGCCGGTGCCATACAATACGGTGCCCGGCATCAAATCAATATCGAAATCAACAACCTTGCTCGACGACATGCCCGGCCATAAGAAACACATCCGAAAAGTCCCTCGCCACCGGAACTGAATCAATGGTAGAAGCTTCTACCCTGACATCTATCACGAAAGCCCAAATAAAAAAGACAATCCTTCCCAGCCGTCCGTTGGGCCTTCGAAATAAAAAACTACTCCACTAGGGCATAATCTTACGAACCTCGCCACTCAATCTGTGGCATTTCCAGCATGACACAACACAGAGACAACCAGTCTGAACCTAGTATCCCATCCAGAATCTAACATGTCAAGCACAAAAGATCCGTCTGGGTCTTCAAACCCCGATAGTCACTAAACAGTGCCGATACACACGACTTACAACCACAACATAGCTTGAATGTCAGCAGTCGATTAAAAAAGAAAGTGTCGTAATTCTACCGAAGCACCATCAACTTAATCACATTGCCTCTTCTGAAACATATACCCTCGTCAAATCACTCGCATTTAGCAATACCATTTCCTTAATCATCTGGAGATCATCTCCCGAATCATCTTAAGCTCATTTCTCTAATCATCTGAAACTGCCCGTGTTGCCTAAGAATTTTATGACTTTCCCTTCAAGACTGAACTGTAGCCTTACACATGCAAATCTCAATCCTCCACAACACACCACATATACCATACTATCCTAGGATAACATGAGAACTTTATCTCCCTTCTGATCCACAAACATCTACGTACTCCACTAGTCAAGAACTTTCCATTGATCTCATCTAGAAGGAAATCACTATGCATCCCATGCTCCTCACGCCAATAGGAAAAATGTACCTCTCTAACTGTGGTGAAAACCATCTAGAACTCCCCGAATTCCTTTTGCACAACACTAACTCATCAGGATTGAATCTTTCTAACTCAACCGAGTTGCGCAGGTCACTAAAACCCAAAAGAATTGCCGCAAAACACCTGTAGAAACTCGTTACCTCGAAAACACCCACGGAACTAATCATATCCTTACCATACCGATCTGGCATACTACCACGCTATCATATCTATTCGAGTTTCCCTCTGACCTACCGTTAGCTTGAACTTCTTCTTGCTACAATGCCACAATTCCTCAACCCAGACTCACCACGCGAGTCCCAAGCATGAAACCACATTGTCTAAGGCTCATATGTCGCTGAGTACTCTCTTAAATGTTTTCAAAAGCACCACGTTCAAAATACCAACCCCGAAGGGACCTCTTGCAAATCTGGAACCATTACCTTCCTAATACTGATATATAGAATCCCATAGTTAATGTAGAAAGTACCACATGTCTTGACATTTTCCAAATGAAAACTCAGTTCCTAACCGGATATACAACTTTAAAATACCCAATTGCTACATGTAGAATGCTGAACACATTAGAACTATTCTCGAGAGTCATTCACTCTATTCGAACTGCAATTAGTCTGATCAAATGAACCGAACAACCCATGCCTCATTGGCACTCCGACACTGCAAAATGTAACCTCATCCCAATACAACCACGCAACTTCCTGCTCTATGTATCGAGCCCTCTTACCAATAACAATTCAAGACATCCCGTGATTCTCATATACCTATGAAGCATAATATAATCTTCGTCAAAATTTTCCTTTACTCGAGACATCCTCGGTCTCAATTTCCGCAAGCCATAACTGATTCACTCGCACTCCTCAAACTGCAAACCAACATAGCACCTAACCAGGCAATCGCCCAATCAATAGCAGGCTCCCCCACTTGGCTCGAAGCCATAGATCAGCAAATACTTAATAACTCATAACGATTATACTCTATTGATACCATGATACCATAGTGAGATTAAACTCAAATCTTTTATAAGCCTGTGAAAACACAGATCATCTAGAATTTTAACTCCTTTGCAAACCTCGCATTCCACTCTCGCAATAGTTATACCCACTCTCTAAGCGACCCAAATTAAATTGTAACACATATCCTTCACTCGCAAATGAGATCTTCTAACAGACACATAAGGATCGTACAACCTCAGAACATTTCGCAGGAGAAAACTCACTTGCTTTGCCTCTAACTAACATTTTGTATACCTTCCACCGTCATAAACTGTACGCAATCACTTAGTCCTCCTGAGTTTGAACTCGTATCGCAACATGAAATTTACTTCACTCACAATTATGAAACATGAAAAGATCCTTCACACGCCTATAACTCGGGGCAATACCTCGAATCAAGATGGAATTCAAGCACCTAATATTGCTTCTATCCTCTAGTAGACCATCTCATCGCTTCCAAATCATGTGGATACATATCGCAGTACCAACATACTCATCACATAGTTATCCAGCCGTCACTTCCACTAGTAGGGACAATACCGAACATATACGTTCAAAAATACTTGCTCACACAATTAGCACCTCGGTGCTCAAGTTATAGGCAAAGATCCGGCCTCAAGTCCTCTAGACTGTCCCAATATCAACTCACAAAGATCACGTCTCGCCCCTTGATCGGGGAATCACAAGCCATCAATGCACATCTGATACTAAGCGCTCATGCATGCATACGAATGCGTGGAAGCAATTCAAAGAGTTACATTTCAAGCTGAATCAAGGACGCACGATAAGAATTCAAGAATGTGAAGTTTTCCTAAAGGTTCTGCAGCCTCTCGAGGATAAA